CCCCGCCCCCCCCCCCCCCACTTGGTAGAGAGAGGAAAGAGTAGTTGCATCATCTGATCCATTAAAGCATTCGCGGCAGCCAGACCCTGAAAGGAGACATGCAGACTGCAAGAACACATGCTGATACTATGAGATTTCACTGGCTGACAATGGTACAGTACAACAACAACAACAACACACAAACACAGGAAAGCCCGGAGAATATCTCCATTGAGACGTCAGACTGAAACCAGGAACTCTCAAACCACTTAACCCACTCAAAACTGCTGTCACCCAAGCTGTAACCACACGTCGAAACCAACACCCCCTCATGCTAAGACGCACATGTCTGCCAAAAAAACCACTGGCTACGAAGATGGGAAGTGGAAGGTCGGGGATTACATAATGCTACAGAGAGCCTCAGTGCAGGCACACTCGCACTAAACAGTAATGTTGTCCTGGAAGCGAGGTTCACACACAGCTTCCATCATTATCTAAGTATACACGCATCAATTCTGTATGTTGCAACACACACAGACTCACCCTGTCGGACCTGAATATCAAGACAACGGGACAACAGCAGCTTGAGATGGTGGTTTGATTACAGTCTGAGAGTCTACAACAAATGTTATATTTTACCTTGGCTTGGTGTTGCTTTTGTGAATAACTGGAAGTCAATAGGAGCCCTAATAGGGGTTACTATCGTGGGAAACAATGTCCATCATGCCTAATCAGCAAATACAGATAAACAATGACCCCCCTGTCCAACCTTTAGACTGTTTTTAATGAGTGGACAGAGTCACCGTGACATCACCCATTGGTTTGAAGCCTCAAGTTCGCAATCTTGGTTTTCAAACAACTAACAAGTGACACAAGAGCTAAGTAAAACCAAACGCTGACAGGCATATTTAGGCGACTGAAATGTTGGAATTAACTGTCATGAAGTGAAACAGTGTGAAAGGGTTAAAGTTGTGAGACGGAAACACAGACAACACCGTGGTGTTGACCTGTCAGTCACAAGTTAGCCCCGCCCTAAAGCATACCCTGCTTTACTGTCGATTTTACTCTAAATGGGACCGTACTTTACTAAATGAACATCATGCTGTGTTGAAGACTTGAAACTATGAGAGAATAAATCAAGTGAAAAGTAGGGTCATTTACCCATAGACTTCTATACAATCAGACTTCTTTTTGCAACCATTTAGTCAAGTTTTAACAGAAGGCTAGACATCTTTTCTGGACTGAGCCGTTATCAGCTGCTCCAACAACAAACTGGAGGGAAAAGTGGTAAGTAAAAGCCAAAGGCCTCGGCTTCATAAAATGTATTATACTTAACAAAATCTCTATTATTGTTGTTTCAGTCACATGCTGAGAGGCTTGCTGCCAAAGGACGACCTCGGTGCTCTAAAGGCTGATTAATGTGGTCACACAGAGCCAAGCTAGTCCCAGCTAGCGCTACATACACTTCCAGGTCAAAATTCCACTTTTACAGTATTGTGCATTTACAACTTTTATGAACGTGAAACTTCACCGACCTTTTAACCGGCTTTGTATCGCTGCAATGCAATAAATGATGCATTTCTTCTGATTACAAGGCAAGGAATCGTGGAGTTTGATTATTTACATCACAACGTAGCAAGTAGGCTAATTCCTATGGGTTTAGTTAGCTACTCCACACAGCACATCTGAACTGTTGAGGACAGAAGCAGTATTGTATCTTTAAACCCCCACATTTACTCAGACAACCAGTGTGAAAATTGTTCAAATTATATAACCAGATGCCCTACAATTACCAACAACTTGGCAAAAATACAAGCAAAACAAGTTCCATGATCCTTGAGTTGACAGTGACAGTTGTAATACTTCACCACAACAACAAGCTACACAACTGGCTAACAGTGTAGGTTATTTTAAGTATCCATAACATTTTCTCTGCAACATCCAGAGATCATCAACATCGGTCTACGTGATGAAGGACGATACCTGATAAATACGACACGATCATGTGATTTCCCCCATATTTAGGAGGTGAGGAGGACCACGTGAATGCATCATTAAGCTAACCAACCCAGAGTAGGTTGTAGGATAGTGAGCGAGGGCTGCAGAGGAGACGCCGGCTCACATTTCACAGCCGCATTTGGAGAAGCCTCTGGAATGGGACGGCCTCGTCGAACCGTTATGACGTATTCAGTCTTGAAATACGGACTTTGGAGCCGGCAACCCTGAACTGGCACACAGCTCGGATTGTGCAGTTTGGTAACAGTAATGACTTATAAAGTCACACCTTTCTATTGTGTCTATTCATACACCTGGAATCCGTTAGTGTTACATTTTTAACTCTTTTTTTTAATCTTAACTGCTGAACCAATTTAACAGATACTTTGACCTTGCCTCCCTTTTTACATTTCTTTTATTAGACGTAGAACAAAGACAGTTGCACAGATCCAACATACAGCACTTCAACGTACATTATTGACCCTCCAGGTCTCTATCTCCCCTTTATGCACTGATCTGCTGCAGAGTGCTTCCAAGGCCGTACATAACACTGCTGGATCAAACCAGTCAATGGAAATCACTCCTTACCACTTGCTCCTATTGTTTTCCTGTGACATTCAATAACATTTTTACAGATGACCAAAAAAACGCTGTGAAAAGGTGACACTTGAAAGGTGTAATGGTGGTTTTTAAAATTAGGTAGACTGCGTCAAATCTCTGCGACAAAAGTGTCAAAGTGCACAACATGGAGACCAAGAACTAACACTTACAACTAAAGCTACAGTCAGTTTATCATTGACGGAAAATATTCGGTTAAGGCAATCCCCGGCCAGTCACTCCATTCATTTGAATGTGGGTAGTGTGTTTGGGCTGCGACGGTGGGGACAGCAGGGGATGCTGAAAAGAGTTTAAACAGAATAAACTTTTGGAGAAAAGCAACCCGACATCACGCTGTGGCGGCCGATCATGTGAGCGGAGATTAATGGGCCACTCAAGCCTGGTGTGAAGACTCTCAAAGTCTGACATACCACATGAAAGGAGAGGCAATAAGGGCGGCAACCAATGATTATTTTCATTATCAATGAGTCTATGACATAGTGTAAAAGGCCAATCACAAGGTCAGAGAGTCCAAGTTGACATCAGCACTAGAGGCAATCAAACAGTTAACAAAAGTTTTTCTGTTGTCCGAGTCTCGACTCTTCATTTAAGAAGAAATGGAATTCAACAGGAGCCATGGCAGCCGTTTCCTAAAATCTTCTTTAAACGAAGAGCACCGTCCTTCACAAGTGACTTACAAACTACAACAAAGATTATCGAGGCAATAAGATACCATCAAGAGACCCAGCCAAGTTGTAATCATCACAAAGTATAAATAACAGAGTCTCAGACTCCATGGTGACGTCTACAAACGTCCTGTTTGTCCGACCAACAGCAAAAAACACAAAGATATTTAGTTTACCATCAGAGAATAAGAAAAGCAGAAAATATTCACATTTGGGAAATTGGAACCGAAACGTTTTCAAATGTACAAATAACCCCAGCATAAAGCAGCACTTAATATCAGAGCACCAACAAAGATAAACTTGTTACCCTATTGCAAATATTTATGAATATTTCATCAATAAAATTAAATATGAAAAACAAAACATGGCTTAATGGTAAATGTACTTCTCACCCCAACTGAATAACATACATAAGCAGATGAGAAAGCTGCAGTCTAACTGATCTACCCCACTGAAGACTGTGAAACGGGCTCGACACAGTGAGAATTTTCAAACCAGTGCAGTTCTTCCCTGTTATGGAGGACCAATGAGTGATTTGCATCCATCTCCTGCAGACACCGTGTTTCATCTGCTCCTCAGTCTTTACACAGTTGACTGCTGACTCAGATAAGATTATCAGCTATTGAACTCCTCCGTTATCTGGCTGGCAGGGCACAAGACCAACACGCCAAGTGATGTCATACTGGTCATCTGCGCAGCTTATCGCAATCTGATACGCCGGTGAAGGTGAGCAGGGCGGCTGCTGGGTTACATTTCAATTCTGCACGATACAAAATTGATGATGAAATGTGAATTTTAGGGAAGGCTTAGATGATACATTGCTGCAACATAGTAGGGAGGTTTAGAATGGCTTAAATCATAAACAATTCTCAAACTGTAAAGTTAATAAGAAAAAGATCTCTCTCTCTCTCTCTCTCTCTCTCTCTCTCTCTCTCTCTCTCTCT